AAAAACACATTGATGCTGCTGCGTTTTAACCGCTCACACAAAAATGTCTCCAGCTTTTTTCTTTCCACCGATCCACGGCGTTCAACTCCAGTTTCCTGTTCCAGCTCAGGTGATTCAGATGAGGGGATTAGCTGCTTTAGCATGTCATCAAGTTCTGACCTAAATTTTTGATTCTGGAAATAATCTGAAATATGAAGGTCAGACGTCCCTGAGGACCCAAATGCATCATGCTGCATTTGGATTTATCTCATTAGATTAAAATATTATATAGTATTCATTTATTTTATAAGCTTGTTTTTCTTAATATTGATGTAAAAAATCTCATATTGTCAGATTTTTTTCACTTATGTTTTCTCATGTTATAAAGGATTGAGTCATTTTCATTTTTGACATAAAACACGCTCATTTTTGTTGCTAAAAAGTTACTTGTAAGTTAGTTTTGTCTTATTTCAAGTGAACTGAGATACTTGCTCTATAAACCGGACAGATTTTGTGCTTTTGCAGTGTTCTTCCTACCTCCATCTGCAACACTGATCCATTTTAACTATAATCATTTGTCAGCAAACAGAAACTTAATTAGGCGTAATAGATCTTTATTTTCTCTAATTCTTGTTCATTATTTTTTATGTAATTCAGTTTTATTTTAAATTCTTTCAGCCATCCGTCACATATTTGGTCCTGCTACTTCAAAGTGCAGCTTTTCTTTGTTCATGCAAAATGCAGAACAATGAGTAATGATATGGATTTCATGGACACTCCGGCTTTAATTGAAACAGGTGTGATTAGCATATTGTTTGTGTTTCGCGCTGCACCGTAGGCCTGTTTGTGTTAGACGGGGACCTTTATGGAAATGAGCGCTTTGAAAAAAAAAATCAACACAAATGTAACCTATTTCTTTAAAAGGGGCACAAATTTACTGTGAAGATCATCCTGGCAAAACCACAGAGGGAAATGTCAGAACGGGGGAGAGGGAGGAAAAAAAAAGGTTCAAAGAGAAAATAGCTGACTGACTTGGTAAGTGAAGCTAAGCTCAAAATGAAAAATGTTCATTATATGCCCGTCAAGGTGAAAGGAAGCCATCTCCTCACCGCTGCAGTTAAAATGTCGACCTCTCCGTCTCCGAGGGCGAAAAGAGGAGAAATGTAAAAAGAGGAGGATTTTCTCCTGCGTGTGTGTGTGTGTGTGTGTGTGAGACTGATCCCAGCTTCATTCCAGACAAGGGCAGCAATGTTAATGGTGCTGCTCAGTAAAATGACCCTTACATCTCTTTCTTCATACATTGCAGTGCTTGTGGAGTCGTCCTCCTCTCCTCCTGTCGGCTCCGTCTGTGTGCCGTTGTTGTGTTTGTGTGCGACCTCTACAACGAGTCCGCCGCCCTCCCACACCTTAACTTGTCACTTTCCATGTACCTGATCATGTTCAGGCTGTAAAATTGAACTCATGATGCTTTTTTCAGATTTAAAGCTGAAGTATGTGACTTTTATAAAAATGATTTTTTTTTTTTTTACAGATATTTGTTTAAGTTGTCAGCAAGTTGTGACAATATGAGGCCGATAATCTGTGAATAAATCCATCTCCTCCATCCAAAAAACAACCACTCAGAGCCAGGAGGAGGATCTTAGTGCTGCCAATCAACCTCATGAACACGCTGCTGAATGTGCTGTTGGCGGAGAAACAACTCACCTTTACAGCTGTTTATCTGCTCCCATTGGTGGCTGTGCTAACTAGCCTTAGCATTCACAACAGGCTTTGCTGACGGGGAGAAGCTGCATCATAGCAGAGGGCAAGAAGGAGAGAGCACGCACGTGAGCCTGTCGCAATGAACAAGAAATCAATCAATCACATAATTAATTAAAACAAGCTCAATAATTTCCATTTACATGATTTATCACTTTTCTCTTTCTATCAAAAACTGAATGATAAAAGTCCTCAGTCTGTTTCTTTGATCTCAACTTGCCATTTTTTTGAAGGACAATTTTGTTGAGAGACTTCATAATTAATTTTATTAGTTTTTTATGTTGTTTTGTTTATTTTTGATACTTAAACATCTTCCAGTTTCAGTGTTAAATGTTCATTATGTTTTAAAGTTTATTGATCTTTGAGAATATGTTCTTGAATTATTCTGCCGTTAAAATTGTCTCAAAACAACATTATTATTTATTGCAATAGCTTCATTGGTTATTGTGACAGAACCACATACACGGGCATGAATGACAGCACTAAGCCCCTCCCCCTGGCTCTGATTGGTTGTTTCCAGCCCTGGGAAAAGGCAGAGGAATTCTGTTTTATTCAGGTTATCTTTCTTGCTATATTGTCATGACATAAAGTTTGAAAAAATACCTAAAAAACTTTGGATAACAGTTTCATTCTGCAGCTTTAATGCTCGACCTTTTTTGATCTCTGCTTCGTCATTAACGTCTTTTTATTTAATCTCGTGTTATTTGGATGGCTCCGACTTCGCACCGCGGCCGTCTTCCTGCTAACGTTTCTGCAGCAGCATAAAGCAGCATGTAACAGCCAACCACAGGAATTAGAAACGACCTTCGCGGCCTGACTGGAGAAGCCTCACAGTTTGGATTTGTTGGCTTCTGTACTGGAGCCAAGACCCGTTACAACTTTCATAAGGATTCGATGCCAGCGTGGCAAATCTCAGCTATCTGTTATGGATTACGAGCCGACCTTCCACCTCACCCTCTTCTCTCCTGGAGCAGAGTTGGCTCGGAAAGATCTCTTTAAATATGTGAGCAGCCGCATTAAAGCTTTGCTGAACTCGGAGCAGGTATTCTGTCTGCAAAGTTTTCCAGATCGAATATTTTTCTCCTCGATGCATTATTTAGTCAGAGAGTTTCTTCACCAGCCTCGAACTGAGCAGCCGGATCCATCGCACGCTGTTGGATCCCTGGGATTTGTTGTTGTCCAAAAACTGTAAAACACATATTGTGGTTTATTTTAACTCTGCCCTTCTGGAAAACTCTCTGCAGCACCAAGAGGGGATTATTTCACAGCTGTGGATATTCCCTCTCCTGCAGCACGGATCCAAAAACAGTCCTTGGATATATTAAGAAATAATTAAAAAGATGAAACTATGAATTTGTCAGCAGTTTTTAAAGATTTACAGCTTGAGGTTTGGGCCTGAGGAGGAGAAGCAGAAGGGAAGTTGGAGCTTTTTTACTCATTATTTACCAAATGAAAAGTTTTTGCACTGGATGTAAATTATAAAACGACACAAATGCATTCAAATCTAGAAAATCTCGTACTTTTTGAGGAATTATTGACATTTACAGAGAGGCATTCAATGTGTCGCACTGAAACAAAAAAGGGAAACAATAAAAATGGTGCATTGAGTCGTTCAGATCACCGGTGAATGATTTCATCTCTCCAGCTATTACAGGTTGGTCTTTACTGTGACTTTTGTTTTATCGTACACAAACTCGTCTGATTCCAGAAACCTTTCAGCCAGAAAAGCCCTGAAGGCAGAAATCTCCCAACAGTCACTCTTTGCAAATATCTTGTCTTGATGACAACGTGCCGTGTTTAAAAACAGGAGATGCTCGTACGTGGAAGAACTACCTGATTGAAACTCAGTCAATAGTCTCTTCATTGGGAATTACATAAAACATCAGTTTATTCTGTTTGTTTTTCAGGAAACTAAAACTTTTCACATAAGAACTGCCACAATAAATAAAAAACTTCAATGTCCTAATGTGTCGTTTTTTTACAGAAGTTCAGGAAGATGAAACTGATGATTTGAGGTTGAAGTCAAGAAGTTTTGTGTTCAGTTTATCACTTTTCTAAAGGCAACATTAGCATTATTGTCAAATTAAAAATAAAGAATGATCCTTTTATTGATTACTTGGAGTGCCTTGTAATCGTATTTACACTCCATGAACTTTTGAAAGTTTTGTCACATTGCAACCTAAAAATGTCAGGAGGGGAGAGAATCGACATGTTCAGTGTTGGACTGAAAGGAAGGAAGAAGAATGTTGTTGAAAGCAATAAGAAAAAAAAACACAAACATTGTGTAGGAGACACTGCAAACTTAGAAGACAACAAATGATTGGAGACACTAACGAGCAAGAAGACGCTAGCAAGCATGTAAGAGACGGGAGTTAGCATGTAAAGACAAAACAAACATGGGAAATGCTTGCAAGAATGTAGGAAATGGCCAAACTGCAGGAAACAGCCAAACTGCAGGAAACAGCCAAACTGTAGGAAACGGCCAAACTGTAGGAAACGGCCAACCTGTAGGAAACAGCCAACCTGTAGGAAACAGCCAAACTGTAGGAAACGGCCAAACTGTAGGAAACGGCCAACCTGTAGGAAACAGCCAACCTGTAGGAAACGGCCAAACTGCAGGAAACAGCCAACCTGTAGGAAACAGCCAAACTGTAGGAAACAGCCAACCTGTAGGAAACGGCCAAACTGCAGGAAACAGCCAAACTGTAGGAAACGGCCAACCTGTAGGAAACACTAAAAAACACCACAAAGAAGACTCTAGCAAGCATGTGTTTGATGGTAGCAAGCTTGTAGCAACAGTGTAGGAGACTATGAACCATGTGTTTGATCCTAACAAATATTTAGACAACGCTGCAAACAAGTAGAAGACTCCAGCAGGCATGTAGGAGACGTTGACTAGGGACGCCAAGGTTGTTGAAGATGATGGGAAGATGGCTGGAGGTTTCATGCAGAACCATCCTGGAGGAGAACATATGTCTGTCAGTACAAGTGTAAAGTTTGTAGACTTGAAAACTTGAATACAAATATATGGTTCACCTAAAATAAAAAAATCTCCATTGTCAAGAAAATCTTTTATAGTTTTATGCATGTAGCTGGTTAAATTTGTTTTATTTGACTTCAGTTAAACTCTGACTTTGGTGCAGTTTTACTCAGATTTAAATTTTTGTCCCTTTTTACTCTTTGGGAGGGAAAAATTCCCTCCGAGTGTTTAGAAAACTTACTTTATGTTATAGATTTAATACTTTATCCTGTTTTCCTCACAGCAACCCTGCTGACCCGGGACTCGGACCTCTGCAGTGACAACTGATTTCCAACTCCTAGAGCCTCCCAACAGGTAGGACACAAACTGTCCTGTTGTGGGTGGTTTATGCACAGTAGAACAAGACACATTACTGGCAACAGAATGTCACCAAGCACATTGCTGCAGACATAATTGGCAAGCTGTGAAGAAAGTGTAAAACAAAAGGAGGGGAAAAATGTGCACAGTTGGTATTTTCATTCTTGCACTGAACATGAGGCAGAAGAAGTTCCTTTGCACACAGAGAACCACACAAAGCATAAAATCCAAGTAATCTTCCTCAGTACACCGCCTCTGTCATTTCTCATTATTAAGCTCATCTTTTAATTAAAAGATGTCTCAGCAGGGTTCTAAATGCTATATTGACTTAAGTTACAAACCAATGGACAACAAAGAAGCCATCATTTTTCTTCTTTTGCCATTTGGTGCAATGAGCCACTGTTTCCACGTCCCTCTGCAGAGCGCTGGAACTGATTCTGTGTTCAGACGGCTAAAAGACGTCGGCGCAGGCTCATTGGAATGATAATCTAGTATGTGTCTGCACTTATGGAGAATATCTTGAAGCATGTCAGAGTTGCATCAAAGCCGCTGTTGTAATTTTCTTTTCAAGGGCAACTTGAAAGAGAAGTCGGCAAGAAAGTAACATTAGTTCCTTGTTTTCTCCTACGAGGCAGCTGCTTCAAAAGTAACCTCGTGCTTTCTGAAGGGAGAGTGGGATGATTCAGCAGGAACCTAACCGCCCATCTGACGGATTCGCATTTAAACATAAACAGAAATATGGCCGCTCCAGGGAGCTCTGCAGAGGAATGGAAATCAGCCCCAAATTTCACAGCCGCAAATCAAACGGGCCTTTTATTTAACTCTTCCTCTGCGTTTCCCTTTTCTTCGTGGCTCCCTGTAGCATCGTGCACGCATAACAGCACCTACTGATTGGCCTTATTTGAAGTACGCACCCTGACAAAAAGAAAGAAAAAAAAAACGTAGAGGAGATTTTTCCCTGTGTCACAAAGGGATTGAATGTGGTTCTCCAGAAGAGGAGGGCCTGAGAGGATTATATGGCTCAGTGGGCGCTGTATTGTGTGGGGAGTGGATACTGCAGGTACCCACCGAATCCCAGCCAAGAGACCAGAGCGGTGTTGCTAGGGATAATGCTGCCTCCCAGCAATTAAACTCTGGAGGTTTTGGAGTACTTTAAGAGGGAGCTTGTTAAATTATCTCATCTCTCCTTTCTTCCTTTCTTTCTTCTCTTCCTCTTTTTACCACATTTCTGAACATTTTTTACTGCTCCACTTGATCAAAACCTGAAGTCCGCTGCCTTTTACACCTCCTTTAAATCAGAAGTCAGATGAAAGCAAATGAAAACTTAAACAGAGAACAGATTTATAAACTTACTTTAGCTGTAAAGGAATTCTAAAAATGCCAAAAACCACCAGATGAGGGCAGCTTTGAATTAATTCCTGGAAGATTTAAAGTAAAATAAGAAAATGAAAACTCCACTTGATGTCTATGTTGGAATCTATACTATTTAAACAAGAACTTTAATTAAATATGAAGGTTCCTTAATGCTGTTTTCTTCATTGTTTTTAGCCTTTAAATGAGTTCAGACGTTTATTGGATGTTTTTCTAAATCCTTGTGTGAAACTTTTTAACATTTGTCTGGTAAAGTTGTTTTATATTAAAACAGCAGCAGAATACAGTTTATTTCAGCTTATATGTGGGTTTCTGCTACTTTTTTGACTCATTAAACACAGGGAAACAAAGGCTTTAAAGTACCTATAAAAGCCAATATAAGTCTTTTTTGTTTTGAAATGTTGAGTATTTTTTGTTTTCTAACATTACTTGTTCTGCAGAAGAAATTAAAGAAGGCATCTTATTGGTTATAATCTTTATAAATCGGGATGAAAATGTAGCTTTGAACACGTTTGCACACAAAACAACAGACTGGACAAAGTGAAGTAAACCAGCGAGAAAGTTGTTCAATAAGCTTTTATTTAAATGTTCCTTTTTCCTCAAATTAGGCAAATAAAATGTAAACAAACTCAAACGAACTCAGTAGACAACCTCATTTTGTTAAATAAAAAACTGCCTGCATGCTTCCTGTGAATCTCATTAAAAAACAAACAGACACTGTAATGCTGTTCCTGGTCCAGTAGATGGCAACAACATCGGCATTAGTGGCATAAAGTTGAAAAGAACATTAAAAACTTGTAGTTTAAAACATCCCCCAAATCATGTGAAGTTTGTTTCCTTTAACATCATATAATCTGTCTTCAGCTGATGCTTTTCTGCTTTGAGGTTTAATAGACAAAACAAGTTGTGACAAAGCGACAAATTACAGAAATCCCCTTAAATTCAAGCTCAGAAAGCTGTTGTGGGCCTGGAATAGTTTGGAACTAAATTGTTCCATAATTTGGTGAAAAATAAAAACTTATTCCACAGGAATTAAGATGTTTATAAAACCTATAAACATCCTTTTTTAATGTTTGACCATTAAAAACCACTGACCACTGATGTTAAGTGTTATTGATTTGATCACTTTAGACACTTAAGCTGCTCTAATAGTCGTGTATCTAACTAGTTATTGATTATTTTGCATTGTTTTATGTGAAAATAACTTCAAACAACCTTTTGACCAAACTTCCATGAACTTCAGTTCTTGTTGACTGAACCTTTGCTTCCCTTGTTACTCTGATCCCTCGGTGCAGATGCCAGATAAACTTCTTCTCCTTCCCTTCTGCCTTTCACTTTAACCTCCATAAAACTCCCGTCTTGGTTTTGGTTTTATGTGAAAGGCAGCGCTCGGTAACTTTGACCACCGTCCTCGTCCTCGGGCAAACAAACAGCCCATTTCAAAGGTGAAAGTCCGCGGCTTTCCTCGTGGAAAAAAAATGTGCTCATTTATTTCCGAATGTGACACTGTGCTTCCTAACACCCTTGGGACTCGTGTGTCCGTAGTTCCAGGTCGCTTCCCGACGCTGCAGTGCTGCGTTAACCTCCTTTCTTTACCCCCCTACCCCCACCATGCACACAAAGCAACTGCCCCAAAGCTTCGTCGTCCAGGACAAATTGGTCGCAAGCGGCTCATTTACTCAGAGCCGTCATGAATGGACTGTGCCGTGACTGTGTAAACAAGTGCAAAGACTCCCAAGGGCATTCCTGCATAAATAATGACTCCAAAAGATGTTTGCCATTTGTACCACTCACTGGTTGCAGACATGGGTCAGGTAGTCTCCTCTGCAGGGAGTCTTCAGTAAACAACAGCCGTGGCGTCCATTAGCGAGGCTGTGGGAAGTTTGCCGGGGCTGCAGGGTATTTTTCCTCTGCTAAAGGCCCAACAGCAAGGCTTCTGCTTTGGTCCGAGTCAAAGTGGGAGTTACCAAGATTATTATAACTAAATCTAACCAAATAACAAACACTGAAATTGAGAAAACATTTTTGTTAAAAGGTAATTAATGGGGGAAAACTCTAACTGGAAGCATATCATGCGTTTATGAAACTAAAACAAAAATATCCTTCGTTTTCATGTTTGAATCTTTATATTAGCCTTTCAAATTGAAGTGAAATTGAATTTATTCTCCAACACAAGTAGTTTACGTCAGCTGTTAGCAAATTACGGTAGTAGATGCTCCTGCTGGCGACGGTTGTTAGTCCACAAAATGCCGACCGCAAATGACAGGAGAAAACTCCAGTTGGTTGGTTATTCAACAATAATTGAATCCATTTTTTTCTTCTATAGAGTATTCATCATATAGTTAATGTATACATCGTTACAATACTTTGACCTTTTTGAATTCTGCACCTAAAAGTGAACAAAAGAATGAAAAAACTAAAACTACTACTATGACGAATAAAAACTAAAAAACATCTAACAAAAAAAAAACAGCAGACAGATTCTAAAAACTAACTGAAAAGAAAAAAATCCCAATAAAACTCAAAACTGTTGTAACCCTGGAAGTTATGAGGCACGCTGCAGTCTGAACGTATTTATTTTTCCCCGTTAGAAATGTGAGAAGCTGTGTTTTGTCATTCTGGCAGGACAGAGACTTTGGTGGCAGACAAGGAGTCAAAACACGGCACGTCTCGTGTTATTTGTGCTGAGCTCTGGTCTGTCTCCAGTCTTTAACGCACAAAGCAGAAGCTGAGTCCACGTGTCATCCGCGGATTTTAAGTCGTCTCTGGAGGCGAACTAAAGTTTTATTTTCCAAGTGTAAGTAAACGGCATTAGACGTCGGTTTCTGACATTCTCCCTCGGCCAAACGAAGCACACTAAAGGATCCGGCTCTCAGTTTGATTAAATTGCTCCCAACATTCCCAGTCTGAATGCCCTGAGCTGACGGACGGTTGTGGATAGATTTAGTTTTTCTCTTTTCATTCATGAAGCTTTTCAGGTTCAACCTTGAAGGAGGCTGGAGATTCCTTCTGAAAGGCTAAGAATGAAAGCAGGAGGTTGTTTTTCTCCGTGTAAGTCGTGCACCGTGCAGAGGAGGAAGGTGCGGATGATGTTTCTACAGAAATGGGTCACTTTTAAATTTTTTTTTTCCCACTTGGCAAATAAACATGTTAAGTGAAGATAGGTTTGGTCCCTTTTTACCTGCACAGAGAGTGCTCATTAAACAGAATGATTAAATGGATTAAATCCTCTGATCCCCATTAACAGTGGGGTAAGGAGGAAAAACATGCCGTTACCTAAATCAAAAGGGTTTATCCTCTGTCTGAGGGGCATTTACTGCTTGTCAAACTCGGCTTGCTGAGCTTAGCAAAGATTGTCAGAATTGCCTGAACTTTCATCAAGCTAAGCTTCGCTCTGAAATGAATGCAACCATAAGGGGTGTTAACATGCCAACATTTAATATGTACATTTATTATTTAATCTTTTCTGAACAAGAACCATTTTTTGCATCCCAGCACACCTTATCCCCGTTTAGCTCGGATCTGTCTGTGCTTTCAGCAGCTGTGGACAGAAGATAGGTGAGCAAAATTTAAATCTCAGAACTCCTGCAAAAACGTAAACATATGCAGGAATATTAATATATTTC